TTTCATGTAGCGTTTTTATCATCTCCTCGCCTAGGGGTGGGTTCTTTGGAGGAGGAATTAATATTGGATAGAAAATATGGGTACATTGTTACTCTGTTTTTGTTAGGGATTGTGCATTTTTTTCGATATTCTACAGAATGTGTTCTCCGTAAAATGTTTTTGAGAGAACCCCTCTTATAATGTAACCGCATTATGCGATCCCTGCCGGTGACATGTGATCTTTTTGGTTGGGTCTCGTCGAGAGTGGGTCACGTTACTTTTTCACAGTAGGTATGCATTATAATAAAAAAAACTTGAGGACGATATCGTGCTTGTCATATTTATATTCCATTTAAAGGAATTTGTAACTAGGCTGCATTGAGGTACAGGACAGGAGCTCTAGCAATTTTAAACATAAACAGAATTAAAACATTCTCGAAGCACCATAGCATCATATTTTTTCAATCGAAATAACGGAAAACAGGACCAACAGATCGTATATTAAGCTCTTAAAACCTTAAACTAACTAATAAGTGGAATTAAATGGCGGAACGTTGGAGTTTGCTGGTTGTAATACCCGGCGTGCATCGTCGAAAACGTGTTAATATTGATTTAACGAAGTTAAGCCCATCTGCGGGTATGTGCCTACGTATGTCGGCAACAACGGGCCACAGAGTAGTGAGCGCATGGAGTAATTACGTTAGTTGCCTCGCTACAGCTGTGCGTCTGTAGATTTTCGACGCGTGCTATTGTTATTATATAATATTGTTTGTTTACTATGTGAATATTGTTTGCACGTCTGTCCAATTGATACTAGGTATAGTCGTATATTAATAATATGAGTTTAGTTGTTACATGTTGAAAAAACTGAGTCTGGAATTGTACCCAGTATATGGCAATAGGCTCACCCCCTATTACATGCGACTCATAACATAAATAGTGAAAAGTGGGTGTTACTTATGTGTGCACCTCTGCCCCCTTCGAGGATAATAGACGTGATGTTATGTTTTGTAATGTAATAGTAACTCCATATGGTACGTACTCAGTGGTAGGTCCAAACTACATACGTAAGCTTGTTTGTAATGTTCGGGATCTGTTTACCGGACTGTTTATGTAGCGGCACGCGTGTTTGTCTATGTGTACTGGAAAATTGTCTGTTGGATCACGAATAGTACCTACATAGATACAGATGTTGCACATAATATGTGTCTATGAGCCTATAGAACTATCTATAGTTAGTAATTTGTAGGCTTTATAAGATTCGTGTGCGATAATCGTTGCTATGACTTGTTTGTGGATATTGTTTTTAAGTCTAACTCTTTCAGTAATTTAACTTTAATTACTTAAGTGCGTGATTGTACTTTATTACATAAACAAATCCAATTTTGATCAAGTTTTACGTATCTGACATCGTTGTTTCATGTTTCAAGTAATATTTTAGCAGTGACATCACAAGACAATATTAATTACTATTAACTTTTAAGACTTAAAACCAGTTTCATATACAGATACATCAAATTCGTAACTACAAACATATTGTATAGGATAGACAGACAGACGGAATATTATGTTGTACAACATATAAAGGACGAGCCAGCGTGATAGAATTTTATTTTTATTCTGCTCGTAACATTACATGAAGTGTCTAAGGCAAGGGTATGTACGCATTCTGCCTCTATTCCCCGGATCATGGAGATTGAATTTACGTGCGGACTCCTTACATTACTTGCATAGACAATATAGATGGTATCGATGTCCCTTATTTGTTGTTCTTTGTTTTATTGCCTGAGATAGATATATTATTTTATTTGCAAGGAACATATTGTTGTGATAGTTTTTATTCATCTAAGTAGGGGATATAAATATAACTTTGCACATGTTCCTAACGCTTGTTTAACTCAAATTTGACGTTATTCAAGGTAAATTTGAAATATTGAACGCAATCATGTCTAGATTTTACTTCATTTTTCATCTCTTCTATAAAATCTTAAAGTTATGGTTTAAGTAGGTATATATTTAACATTATTCATATTTAAAGTTTACTTTTATTGCAAATTTTTACGTGGACTGTTAATTTAAAAAATAATGTACCACGTCATAAGTTCCTTGTTTAATGGATATCGTATATTTTTGTTATGGTTTTGAATGGCATCGTAAATCATGGAATGGGCCATGAATTATTTATTACCACCCCAGGATATTTATTAAAAATATTTCGTTTAAATGTCAGTTGCATTGTATTAAACTGAATTAAGTTATAATGCCGGGATATTTCATAGATATTTCAACATTTTAATTTTGAAATTGTCAGTTTTAACCGAATCATGTGTTCAATCATCCAAAGTCAAAGTCAAAATCATTTATTTCAATTAGACCAGAAAGGCACTTTTGAACGTCAATAATAAAATTAGAAGTGAAGCTATTTGCATCCGTTATTTATTATAGGTCAAACCGTTTCATTTTATTTGCATGAGTTTCAGGTTTCTGAATCTTCAGTTAGTTTACTTCCCTTATTAAAAGCAGCAACCCCCCCCTTTTGTCCGCGCCCGTATCACTATATTCGATAGTGTGTACAGCGGTCTGCCGCGCATTTTTAGATCACCACGAATGGAACCCAATAGAGCCGATAAGGAGCCGCAGAGAACGTAAAAGGTTACCGGGGCTCCGGCAGGAACGGGGTGGTTTTTAGTCAGTAAGACTTTGAAACTCCTTCTGGCCTCACCTGGACGGGAGAAGGCGATTCGATGATTTTCCCCCCTTAACCCCTCGAGCCTCCTTATGAGCACCCGGTGGATCATAAGAAAAAATGCTCCATGCTGCTTTCTCTTTTATAAAATCTATTATCAATGTTTTGTTTTTATTTAGACTGTATTTTTTATTTCTATTATCCTTGTTTTCGTGTGCCAATGGCCAAATAAATGCATTTTCTTTCTTTCTCCAAATGTCACGTGTGCACCCGTTGGATCATAAGGAACGCGGACGCTCGACGGGTTTAACCTTCAAAGGTAGACGTTTATAACTACTTTTATATCATAAAAACAAACGTGTCATGATGTTTCGTTAGCATTATTACTGGAAACAAAGTACTTGATAAGAACATAAATAAATTACAACGAAGGAAAAGTACATAGAAAAAAGGGTTCGTGTAATAAATGGCAGAAATTAGCATATTGTTACCTCGACTCATTCAGAGAACACAGTAATACATTACATTTCTTTATCCAAGTAAATAAAGTAAGTTAACAATTTTCTTTTTATTCTACAAAAGCATTGATATACGAAAATAAACTTTAATGTAATTTACACAAAGCTCCATGTCGTTTAAGCATTTTACACCATGTAACTTTATGCTTTTACAAGATGTTATCATGGTTACATTTCAAATCAAGTTTTCTATTTTTATGACAGGTTTATTAGACATGTTGTAATTATTATTTATAGAGAACAAGCTGGAGTCACAAATGTAGGTAATTAAGACCAATTAAAATTAAAAGTGATCAAATTCCAGTTCGTTACAATTTGTATATTGTCATATTTAATTTAATTCTTTATTATTAACAATACACTTTTGTTAACGTTCTAATTGTAATATTTACAATTTTATTATGACATCAATGCACGACGCACCTACAATTTCAATGAGACTAACCATCAGATATAAGATCTTATGATATACAATAATATAAATCTGAAATATAAATGCACTCTCATTTTCTTTAATAACATGGTCTGATGGGGAGGAAATCCGACGTAGGATGGAGAGAGGCTTTACTTTTCTCCGAGAAACAATGGAGGAACGTTGTTAGTGTTTGAAAACTTTAGTTAATACGTTGAACCATCTATAATTTGAAGTCAGAAGAGCATTTACACTGTTGATGTTCTCAGCCTAAAATATTATTCGATCGAAATTATATAACTTACTAACCACCTGTAATATCCAGTGTATTAAAAATAACAGTGTAGATATTATTGTAGCCAATATCTCCGAAATTTCATCAAAATGCCGCCCGCCTCAAAGCAACGGTAACGCTGCCAAACTTAAATCATTTCACAACAAAATTAATTTGATACTGAACAAGAATGTTTACATAGAATTACTTGAGAGAGAACTGCAAAGTAATATTGCGTTTTTCACAGAGAATATTAAACAGTTTGTTAATTAAAAATAGTTTTATCGCGGCCGGACGGCGGCCGGCGTGGCCCGGGTCGGGGCGGCGCGCTCGCATCCGGCGTGCCACGCGAAACAGAAAGTTATGAATTTGAAAAAATGTTTCACGTACGAAATATGTGATTATGAGTTTAATAAGAATGGCGTATGTGAAGGTTTCCTTGTGATAAATATTCATGATCCTTTTGTAGGTCGCGACTTGCTATGGCAGTGTGGATATCGTGGTGAATAAAGTGACCTTGGAATGTCTAAAATGTTTTTCGTCGTTACTGTCTACGTTTGATAACTAGTTTGACTTTAGTTATAGGATTTGTGTGACATTTTACCTTCATATATACTAACAAATAACTCAAAACAGACTTACGGTCCAATACTTTTTCAAGGTATAGAATAAAACGTACTTGATCTGAAGGCAATGCCTCCTAGTACAGTGATATATTGCTTCTCAGAAACGTTTAATGTTAGCAGCATCCAACTAATACTCGCTATAATCTCGATAAAGCACCCCTCGTAGCACCACAAAACATTTATCAAAAATATACACAATTACATATGTACCAAGGATTCTAACGTTATTAACATTAAGATTAAATTCCCTTATCTCGTTATACAGTTTTATACTTTTTTAAATATGGCTGCTCTACTGTCAGCTTACTGCGTTATCAGACTACATAATAAGCGGAGTAATGGCTGTGTGCTCGGAGAATTATGTGCTACGCCGTGCTACGAGCGGTCGTAGGCCGCTACGACACTGCTACGCGCTACGAGCTACGTAATTAAGTTGGGTTTTATTGAGGAAGTAATCTTCGAATAGCATTTTCTTGCGTTCCTTTTCTCGTTTGTATTTTAATTCTTATGTTGTCATAGTAAAAGATAGTGAGGTCGAGTCATTAAGTGGTATGAGAAATTTATGGTGAGCTGCAAATTACAGGAGTATTACATGTTTATATTTTTTGTTATTAAAATGAATTTAAAAGCTAATTCCTGGTAGTATATTTCTTAAAAAACAGGAAATAATAACATAACGTAGTAAAACATCAATTGTCACTCAATGTCATTTGTAACATTTACGACGTACGTATGTAACTGTTATGATCCTGAAAACATTGGACATTAATTAATGTTTTATGGGCTAAGCCGGTAAACGAACAGACGGATCACGCTAGAAACACTTGAGGCGTTATAAGAGCGTTATCAGCCTTTAAGGAATTAGGAATTTGTGAATTTTTGGGGATTTAGGGATCGGGGAGATTGGGAAGGGGTAATTAGGCCTCCGGTAACTGTTATCAATGACTTTTCCACTTACCAGCAACAGGTTCGAGCAGGCCTTCGGGGTCGGAGGCCTCGTCAGCGACGGCGGAGGCCAGCACCGCGGCCACCATCAGCCACCACGCGCGACACATTGTACCTGTAAGAAGAAATACAATAATGTAATCATTTTTTTTTCTTTTTTGATTTCCTGGCGTTAATAATAACTAAACATGGCCATTAACTAAAAATCGCGAGTTGCTTACGTGAATACACTGTGAAAAGCTCTACTAGTTTCAAAATATAAAGCGGTTGTTCCTCATGAGCAAAGTGCGCGATCGCGGCGATGTCGTGCAGCCTACTCTAATTATAAATTCTCCTATAAATTATATATTCTAATTATAAAAACTCAAACACAGTCGTTAAGTAACTTCAACGCATTGTTGATATAAATTACTACTATCTCGGATTGTTGTCATTAAACAAACACAAATCCACAAAACGTATCCTTTGAAAATAAAATCCACCATGGACCAGCATAGCCCACCTTAATTCTACACCCTGACTAATTTTACAAAATAACAAAGGTATAAAACATTCATCGTTCACATTCTATGTGATGTGTTGAAATTCCTCAAAGTTATGGTGGCGTATGATATACACATACATACATACCATACAATATGTATGTGTGGATGTTTGGATTAGAGATTATACGAGTAACTTTACCCTCTCCCTCGTAACTGGGATTTGTAGAATATTAAAGTCCCGTCAACGTCGGCAGTTACCCATACGGTTCTTATTTTCTCATTACACAAGTATGCTTGAATAATTATATACGGATTTTGTACATTTTTGTTTTAAATCCTATTGTTTGTTTTGTATTATAAAAATGACAGTATTGTATTTTCTATATCTCACAGATTAATGGATACAGTGGAAATGGTCAGTTATAAAAAAAATGGGTTCATTCATTTCTGTTGAACATCAATATATTCTACATTCGATGTGAAATTTCGCCATAAGAATTTAGTTCGACCACGAAAGCGAAAGAGAGAGAGAGAGAGAGAGAGAGAGAGAGGCCAGTCACAAACGAAAATATTCCACAGAATTACATTGGCGGAAAATTGCAAATTTGCTTCCATCGGAGAAGTAATTTTACGCTCAATAATTTGTTTGATACGACTAGTATCCACTAACCAGATGTCACACACATAGATATTAACACATTTGTTGTGTATGCACACATAAATATGTAGTAACACATTTACACTCTAACTTTGGAATGACTTAATCAAACGATATAACTTTAACTAACCGAAAAGTTACGTGCAGTGACAACCGCGGCCATTTTGGTAGCATTTAGGGTCGACCTCACCATAAATCTGACGCAACCTAATTAAATAGGAAAACTGTAATTGTTAAACTGTTACAACAAAGAGGTTTTAGATAAAGGTCTTCATTTAAATGGGAATGTCTTTGTGTAACCAATTCGTATTTATAGAGGTCTCAGCGGCGAACTTGATTTTGGGTTAAACATTTTTTTCTAACTCAACATCCATGTCCACATGTTGTCATGTTCATAGAAATGCTTGATGGTAGACTTCATACGAAACTAAGGACGAAATAAGAAACATTTATGATTTAATAAGTATTTAAACAACTCAGGAACTTTGTCTTTCATTAACCTTGTCATTGGTCAATAATAATATAATAATAATAATAATTGCCCGCAGGGCACCTTGAGGCGAGGTGACGGGCATTAGCGATCCCGCGGGCTACCACCATCCCGAGTGCTCCAGGGAGAAGTCACCGTTCCTTCTTCTCCGGCTTGCCTTAATTGGCTGGCTGGAGTGAACGATGACAAGGAACAGGTCTCCCACCTCTGGCTTGCCTTCATTGGCCGTCCAGAGTGGAGTCGCGAGAGCAGTGATCCTGCTCGGAGGGTAAGAAACTATTCGTAAGTCGCGAGTGGGCCAGGGATGCAGGAAGCTTCGGCTGGAGCAGATGATCTGAGTAGAAAGCGGTGGTAGTTTCTTAACCCTTCAGCCACTCACATTCTCGTTGCCCCTCTGTTGCTATATCTAGCAGCCATTCCCGGGGCCCGGTCGGTGAGTTGGCGAGTCTCCGCCTGCCATTTTTACGTGTAATAATTACATTGTTTCGGCAGGTGCCATAGTCATCCATAGTTCCCAATTTTCCAGTCCACAGCAACCCATCCATAGCTCTATCTTTTTTTTTCCATTATCCTCAATAGTTTTACACTAACCGGAGACTGTCCTTGGGTGCATTTCCATAGTGCATACAGGGATAGTCGCCGGTTTGTGTGTCCATTACATTTATATTAAAGTTGTCTAAAGGGCCTCTGTGCAGTTGGCTTCGGCCCCTCGCATGCCTCCCAAATGACCGGGACCCTGTGGTCCCGTGAATGGTAAAGACATACAATAATAATAATAAATCATTTATTTCAGGCATAGGAACCCATAGTAAAAAGTCACAAAATTACATGAAAATTACAATAAACGAAATCAAAATCAAAATTATAATAAAATCAAATTAAAATCACAATAAAATAAAATTAAAATTAAAATTACAATCAAACAAAATTAAAATTACAATAAGATAAAATTAAAATTAAACAACTTAAATCATTAATTAAGATATTAAAAAATTTTTATTTATAAATGTTTCGTCATAAGGTACTTCAGTTCCAACCTCAACAAGTACACGTGATGGAACACTGCCGAAACCAATTCACTCCCACAAGCACATAGACGAGCCTGGAAAGACGCCCTGAGCCTCCTCATAAGCCCATAGAAGTCTGTAACCCTATTCTCCACAAACATGCCAGTCGCACTACACCGCCAGGGAAGCTTTAGGATTGCTCTAAAAGCATTATTGTATTGTACACGAAGAGTGTTGTAAGCACTCCTTGTGTATCTGTACCACAGCTGACTGGTGTAGAAAGACTGACAATACGCACCAAACAAAGTTATCTTAACTTGGTCCGTGCAATGTGAGAAACGCCGAGCCAACATGTTGGCACGACATGCTATACTACGCCTTTGGCGTTCCAGATCAGCGTCATCCAATAGATCATCCCTAATAATGTGACCAAGATATTTAAATTTCCTTACAACATTTAGCGTGGATCCACATAAATTGATCGGTAAAATATTGTCGGGACCTTTACCACTCCTAATGCTATGCTACTAAAATATTTTTAATTAGAAATCGTCCAATGTACCAATAAACAAGTTTGAAAAAAGTCAGCCATTTATAATCACTGTGTCATACACACAATATTGCATTCATTTGGCAAAAACTCGACACGGAAACTCGTCGAAACAGGAGCAAAAACTAACAACGAAATAAAACACAACAAACCATACATCTGTGTAATCCAATCGGAAAACTAGAATCGAGAGCTCGTTTGCTATTTTGATTACTTTTTCATTCAAATAAAAACAAAATAAATGTAACTCCGACTTGCTTTGAACGGGTCCATACGTTTTGTAGTTCGCAAATAAAAAGTGAGATAGTATTTAGTACATTCCCTGGCCTGCAGATGGCGTTTCCGACGCAAAAGTACCGAGTAAGTATGGCTTATGTCATGTGGAACAATTCCGGAGTTGAATGTAACAGTTTTAATGGTAGCCTACTTCCAGACAACGTCTCTCATTGTCCCGGAGGGCGGGAGGAAGCCTCAAAGGGAGGTCACCTTTTATGTACTGAGATGAGATACTTCCATCCGCTCCGTGGTTTTACATACAATCTTTGGATGTAAACGTGCTTATTACATGATAGATTAAGACTGGTTTTCTTTAATCTCAAGTTTTTAGTTAGTCCATACTGGTACTGAGAAAACTCTATATCTATTAGGTAACATTTTAACGATATCATATTAACGTAATCCACAATACCAATTGCAATTTGAATTTTAAACAAATAATCATTTGCAATAACATTTAATTTAATTATTTTGATTAATTAGTTCTGTGGATTATCACAGAACTAATTAATCAAATTACATACTCTAATACAGTTCCTGTCGTATTCAAATACAATAATAATATCGTTGCATTAGTTAGAATTCTTAATTAAACAATGGTTCAAGGAAATGAAGTGGCTGGCTTGAATAGTAACTGCCTGTTCATTATACCGGCTGTGTGCCACCGCGACCGTGTTGCTAAATCGAATTCAGCACGGAATAGGAAGCTGTGGTCTCCTAGTATTGTGTGCATAGTATTACAATCTAACTGCTTATTACAATATTTATCTAATGGAGATAGGTAGGTATTATTGCTCTAGGGAGTTACTAAATAGTGTCATATGTATGTGTAAAACTGTGCATAATAAGAATTGTAACTAAAAGCAAAACTAATAATTATAAAATAATTAATTGAAGAAATATGGGTCCGCTACCAGTTTATTATGCATGTTTCCTCCTCTCAGTGAAACAGGAAACAGGCAAGACGAAAGCAAAGGATGAACGTCCATTCATCATACTGTAATCCAAAATTCATAAAACTGATCCTGTTTAAAATGCAAGAAGCGCAAAATTTTTAATTTATGATATAAAAAACAGCGGCAGACTACGGACGTACTTCCACCCCGCGGCCCACGGCCACCAACTCCCTGACTCCGCAAAATTTTCAATTCACCAGTTTTTCTAGCGTTCATTAACTCGCTCTGATGAATCCGTCTTGTACGAGCGGGCCGAAGGCTGTAGTGTTTTTGTAGCAAAAAGCAACCGAGGAACCCGAGCGATTCGAAATTGGAATACGCCTAGGAATTCTTGCTTTGATCACTCCTTCATAGTTGTTTTTCTATTGAAAGTACTGGCTTCCTCGGATGAGGAAACTTTATTCACAGTCTGAACCTACTATTTAAATAATCTATGTAAAAGCTATTTAAGTAGCCTTTGCAAAGTCAAACTTTTAAAGGAACATTATCGCTCCATGGAATTTAGGGGACGTTGTTAAGTGGAGTCTTTTCTCCGGCCGCCCGTTCCATTAAACTTGCAAATGCTTTCCCAACTGAGGGACACCATGAAAGGAGCTAAAGAAAATAGGTGACTAAAATGAAAGGGATGTCAGATAGCTGTCATGCCGTCCTGTTCTTTCATTTTGGTCTGCGGAAATGTAGCGAAATG